TAATATCGATATTTAAGAAGAATAATGATATCTTCGGTTAATACTCATATAAAGGTACCTTAAAATTGGATGTATTAGATGTCACCAAAACCCACTTAATCAAATGGTTGAAAAAGTATTTTTGGCAGAGTGATGCGTCTTGTTCTCCAAAGACAAGTTGGTGAGGAGTAATTAGTTAAACCTCCTTTATGCCATTATAACCTGCAAAATTATCTTAAAGATACACTAACAATCGGTATAAATCAAAAAACCCCTTTTTTTCTTTTTCTAATAAATCACTAATTTTATTCAAAATAGGAAATATCCTAAATTCCAATCATAATCGTAAATTAAACATAACAAATTTCTATAATAATTGAAACAAAACTAGCAACTCAAGATCACGTTAGAACCATATAAAGAAAAATTAAAATATAATCAAGAAAACTCGAACAAAAATATAAATACAAGCAGATCTGATCGTATTGACGAACAAACCACAAAAGGAGATTAAACTATTGAAATATCACTGAAAAATTACAAATCAAACTCGAGCGACTTGAAAAGCTATCCACGAATGCATAACGAGTATCCAAATCCAATCTGAGGATCTAAAGCAAGGAAGATAAACAATATATCATATAAGCGTCATCTTAATCAATTGTGACGATGTCTAATCAACCCTTAAAAAAAGATAAATGAAAACAAGAGTCAAATGACCAAAAAACGTGTCAAAAGGTAGAAGAAAACATGCCATAAAGACAGAGAAAAATGTGTCATATAGATAAACTTATTAAAAAAACAAAAGAAAATAAAATGATAATAAAAAAAACCAACAGATGATAACTAACATTAAAATTGATATTGTCGTTAATCAATAAAGATAAAAAATGAAATAAACTGTTTACCAATAAAATAAAGAGAAAATAATTTCAGTGACCAAAAATCCCAGATAATATACGATTTTGACCAACTTTTTTTGGATTTACGAAAATGACCAACAAAATCGCAATGCGATCTCTAATTCGCATTGCGATCTCCACTATCGCAAATTCGCGTTGCATTTCGCGTTGCGATAGTTGAAAATCGCGTTGCGATTTTGGAAAATTGCAACGACAACTGTAGACTATCACAACGAATTTGGAAAATCGCAACGAGAACTGTAGACTATCGCAACGCGAACTGAAAAATCGCAACGTGAAATGAAAAATCGCAACGTGAAATGGAAAATCGCAACGAATTTGGAAAATCGCAACGGCAACTGTAGACTATCGCAACGCGAACTGGAAAATCGCAACGCGAAATGGAAAATCGCAACGCGAACTGGAAAATCGCAACGCGAATTTGCGATAGTGGAGATCGCAATGCGAATTAGAGATCGCATTGCGATTTTGTTGGTCATTTTCGCAAATCCAAAAAAAATTGATCAAAATCGTATATTATCTGAGATTTTTGATCACTGAGATTATTTTATCTAAAATAAAACTAGAACTTTGTGTCTTCAAGTAACTTTGTATAAATCCTTAAATAAAATCGGTTTTAAAAGATATGTTTGTTGATTGAATAATATTCTAATCACCTTATAAAGTAATGATTAGGTTTGACGGAAGTGCGTCAAAGGTCAATTAAAGATAAAAGTTTTCCCTCACACGTCTTTGCTTACGTTTCTCTCATCACCATTGTTGTTTGATTCCCTAGAAATATTGAAACTAATGTTAGAAAACAACAAAATTACTAGTATCAAAATTCAATTTTGTGTCTCCTGACTAAAGCAGGCTGCATTCATACTTTGGCCCGTATAAATACTTTTATATGTACATATACTTTCTTAGAATAGAGAGATGGGGTGGAAAGGGATTCTGGGTTTTGAGTACGGAATAGTTCAAGCACCATTGGGACCTGATATTGCTTGTCCGGAGCTTGTTGCTGCTGTTGCTAACGCTGGTGGCCTTGGCTTTCTCAGAGCTCCTGATTGGGTATTCAATTCTACTCCTATATGCTCATAGTTTGATCTTGCTTGGTAAATACTACTACTTTAGAACGCTTGATTGGATACTAAAGTCCAGTATCAAACCCTGAAACTTATGGTTTGTATTAGCCTGAGAAACATTGTTAAATGAAGGCAGCTAATGAATGTTTAAGGAGAAACTTTTTATTGTTTTCTTGGTTAAGCCAATATAGTCATCAAGTTACAGGGTTCAAGATTTGTAATTCCTAACCAGTAATGATTATTTGGCCCGAGTAGATAAAGTAATGTCCTGTTTGGGTTTATTTTTATATTCCCAACTCCCAAATAGATTTTTCAGTTCAGGGAAGGACTTCAAATATGATTTCTTATTTTTTTTATTTTTTTGGTATCCCAGATACAAAAATGGGCCTGCTTGTTACTTTCTAGGTTCTAACTCTTTAAATATCAATACACAACTGATTTTCCCATGCTTTGGTTTACCAGGAGTCGCCTGAATACGTAAAGGAGCTTATAAGGAAGACTAGAAAGTTAACCGACAACCCCTTTGGGGTTGGTGTCGTTCTGGCATTTCCTCACAAGGAAAATATAAAGGCTATACTAGAAGAAAAGGTAGCAGTTTTGCAATTGTATTGGGGTGAATGCTCAAAGGAGCTTGTAATAGAAGCTCATAATGCTGGGGTCAATGTTGTTCCCCAAGTGAGTATCATTTATCTCTCTCTTATTTCATAGATAAATATGCGTTGTGTGTTTGAATTGTGGAATTCTAAATCAACCAGAAACAGGCAAAAAAAAAACAGAACATTCTATCACCTATATGATACTATTGCTTTGTTAAGTGTATGGGCCTTAATTTGATATATATATATATATATATATATATATAGATGGGAAGTTACATGGGAAGGGGATGGTGGTAGGGAAAACTGAGAAGCATTCCCAGTACTCTATGCCACACCATTGAAGTTTGAAATTACCATGTAATAGAGTGACTTGACCTAATTAAGGTGATTCATTGAATGTCTTCATGATCTTTTATGTTCATATTGCATTTTTAGTTCACTGATAATGTTTTCTTATGGGATAAACTACTGCGTTTATGCTCGTTTGATGAAAGAAATACCATTAGTTTTCATCTTTTTGTCAGTAGTTAACTAGCACTTATCTTGTAATGGTATGCAAGAATGACATGCGAAAGTTCTGTATTGGAGCAATAATATGCATTTATTTGTGAGGAAAGCATAAGAAATTAAGAACACTAATTTTGGGGGCTCATGTTGGTGTCGATTTCTATACCGGATGGATATGATTCTATTTGTACTCTGCTTTCTCTTGGACTATCTGGAGCTAAATGTGACTCCATTAAAGGTTGGGAGTTTTGAGGAAGCGAAAAAAGCAATTAACGTGGGAGTAGATGCAATCATCGTCCAAGGCCGTGAAGCAGGAGGGCATGTAATTGGACAGGTATGAGGATATCTTGAGTTTATCATCTTGCTAGCATAGTAATAATTACCCTGTACACGATACAATTTTACTTTGAAATTGGTAAGATTTGATCCTTAACTACATTTCCGTAATTATTGTGTTTCTCAGTCATAACACTTGTAAAAATGACCACTGAAATATATCAAATTCACATTCCTTGTGATGTTTTATTATTTCCAGGATGCTCTAATTTCCTTGCTGCCACGAGTAGTTGATCTTGTTGGTGATCACGATATTCCTATTATTGCTGCTGGTGCCATTGTAGATGCTCGCGGCTATGTTGCTGCTTTGGCTCTTGGTGCTAAAGGCATTTGCATGGGTACAAGGTTAGGACATTTGCATGATGCATGTGAAGTTATCTCGTCTCTGTTTCATTGAATATTTCGTGTTTTGCTTCTTTTGTGTGTCAAATTCCTTTGGACTCCACTTAAGAGTTGTGAAATAATCTAAAGTTAAGAAGTTATGCTATCATGCTTAAGTCCTAACCAATGGACTGGGTTGAGTTGATGGTTTCTTGATTTAGATTGAATCTTTAACATAGGGTTGAAGGCCTGAAGCATATGTGAAGTCTCTGATGTGTGTTTTTTCCTAATGTATCGAGTTTTTGCAGGTTTCTCTCAACTCATGAAAGTTATGCTCACGCCACGTACAAGCAGAAACTGATCGAACTTGATAAAACTGAGTATACAGATGTTTTTGGCAGAGCAAGGTGGCCTGGAGCACCACACCGTGTCCTGCAAACACCCTTCTTCTGTGATTGGAAATCCCTTCCTGCTGAAGAAAATGAATCTAATCAGCTTGTCATCGGCCGGTCAATAATACACGGCGTGGTGAGAATCTCATACTACAGATTATTGAGATGATGCTGAATGATCACATTTTCAACAATAGAACTGTTTCTTGATTAGTTAACTCCAATTTAGAGGGGTTCTGCTTTCAATTACTAGATAAATCTGACTGGAATGATAATTTGATGATGATGTTCAATAGGAAAAAGACATTCGACGGTTTTCCGGTACAGTTCCGAATCCAACAACAACAGGTGACATTGAAAGCATGGTGATGTATGCAGGCCAAAGTGTAGGGCTCATCAAGGAAATTATTCCTGCTGAAGAAGTTGTAAAGAGGCTGGTTGAAGGGGCTCAACTTCTCATCCACCAAACATTCAGTTTGGACTCGGTCTAAAATTGATTTTAAACTCAAGATTCCATATTTATGTGAATGTTGTACCATTGTAACTGAAGTTATTGCAGCAGCTTAAAGCTGTATCATGTGGAAACTTGACATATATGTAGAATATTAAAATAAGTCTCTAGAAGACAAAATATCACAATAAAAACATAAAAATCATGCTATAATAATTCCCATTGGTACAGTTCAAGTGCATAACAATCTTATCAAAAATTAAATTTATGTAAGACCTATCGGGTCTTGACATATATAGCTCACCATCTACACAGATATAGCCTTAATGAAGTTGTGAAATATCATGTCAGACAACTTAAACAATACAATGTTAGAGAAGTGGAAAATTGCAATTTACAAACAAAACTTGATATAAGAAATGCTGATCACAATATAGCTTCTTATCTCTTACCGTTGAAAGTCTTGGTTTACTTGAGGTTGGCTAGTTCTTCAACAAGCTTCCTCTCTTCATCACTTAGCTGTCTTGGGATTTCAACCTGGACTTTCACTAATTGGTCCCCCCTCATTTTGCCTTTGTTCAGCAACGGCACACCTTTCTTTGCCATTACCAAAGTTGTTCCGGGCTGGACACCGGCAGGGATTTTAAGATTGGCAGATCCATCAACTGTTGGCGCCTTCACTGTTGTCCCCAAGATTGCATCAACATATGGAATCTTGCATGTATAAAGAATGTTGGTGTCATCCCGTTTCAATACAGGGTCTGGAATCACATCGATGACAACGAAAAGATCACCAGGGGCACCCCCTCTCTTTCCGGCATTCCCCTCTGATCTGACTCTCAGCCGACTACCTGAATCAACCCCAGCAGGCACCTTCAGGTTAATCTTCTTTGATTTTCTTACTCTGCCATCCCCGCCACATTTGTTACAAGGAGTTAATGTCTCTCCAGTCCCACTACAGGCAGAACATGTCATCACCTGCTGGAAGACACCCAGGGGAGTCCTCGACGATGAGACAACTTGCCCTTGCCCACCACATGTGGTGCAAGTATATGTCTCAGTCCCTGGCTTTGCACCTGAGCCATCACAGGAGGTACATTTGTCAAGCCTGGACACCTCGATCTCTTTTTCTACCCCAAAGACAGCTTCCTTGAAAGTCAAGACAAGTTTGTAAATTAGAACTTCACCTTCTGCAGCCATATTTCTAGCACTTCTATTTCCGATGTCCATGTCAAAGAACGAGCTAAATAGATCGAATGGATTGGTAAAGTCCTACAAGAATAAGCCGCAAAGATTTGACTGTGTAAGAAGAGAGATGTGCCTAACATAAAGAATGATATAAATGAAAAACGACGAGTTTCACAGGTTTATTCTTTTGATCAAGGTAACTTACCCCTGTGCCCATAGTAGAACCTTTAAGACCATCTTCACCATACCTGTCATATATAGAACGCTTCTCGTCATCTGAGAAGCCCTGCACCATAGTGTTTTCCTTCTTTATTGTAGAAGTATCTTGAACGAAAAAGTACACATTAAATCCCAAGATCAACCCAGCACCCAGATCCAATCACCGATGTTGAAATCAGATTAGTACCTCATAAGCTTGACTAATCTCTTTAAATTTCTGTTCAGCTCCTGCTTCCCTGAAGGCAAACTAAATATTAGCATAGATTTAAGCAATTGCCCAAAAAAAAAATCCAATAAAGAAGTGTAGTCATTTAAGTTATTTCATGTTAGCAAAACATTCAAAGAAAACAAATAATTCCTTCCTTTTTTTTACCGCAAACTGCTTTAACAACATTCTGTTGGTTTGAATGTCTGAGAAGTTTTAATCAATAGCCACAATCTTCATAATTGCTACAATTTCAATTTTCAACAGGCCTTCTTGTTATCTAATCAAGGCATGACTAGCAACCACTAAAGCACATCAATATAATAATAAATTAAGCCTTCAAGTTAGCGAGTGAAATACACAATAAATCAACCATTCTTGCAAATTACTGTGGTTCAAGGTGGCAAATCACAATATAAGAAAGAATCCGTTATGTCTCGGCATGAAGACTATGATGATGAGTTTTACCTGTTGCAGCAAAAATTAACGAAAACAAATGATAAGATGGATTTTTAGAGGGGTGGGACTGATACATGCATGATATGTTTAATATTCCAGCAGATATCTGGATAAAGTGAATAGTTGCAAAAATTAAGAGGAACTTTAACTTACTTGTTCACATCAGGATGATAATTCCTGGCAAGCTTTCGATAAGCTGAACATGAAACGGGTATAATCAGTAAAAATAAATAAAAAATCAATATTACAAAGGGGATTCTCCAACGCATTTCAGTAAATAAGGCTCACTAAGCATAGTAATAGAATAAGATTTGGACTCCATATCAATGAAGGAAGACACTTAAAGTTACAATAAACGCATTGTTCTTAGATCTTTCAATGAGGACGATGTCAGTAAAGCATGCAAGTGTAGAAAATGCCATGGGGGAAGGCTTCGAAAAATGTAGACCTCAGAACCAAATGTGAAACACAAACCATCATATGCAAACCATTTCAAGTGAAAAATAAGCAGATGAAGTACAAATACTGAAGACAAGAACAAACAGGGAAGTTTATTCACCGCTTTTTATGTCCGATTTGCTGGCATTTTTGGATACTCCAAGGATGGAATAATAATCCTGCAGGTACAAATGTTATAGTATGAAATAATAAAACATGCAGTAAGGGAACAAATACCAGAAAGACGAGCAAAAGAACCAGAGAAGGTTACAAAACCATAGTTGGTACTTGCTACTACAGCCATCCTTAGAAGGCAAAAGGAAAATTAGAGAACACTCACCCGAGCAGCTTTGACAATCAGATGCCTTGCCAAGTGGTGACATGGTGTTCTAGGTAAACATGAATTGAATAACTCCAGCGTCGTATTTCGAGAAAAAATGCTTGAACTTGAAAATGATAAGGCCCCTATCTCAGTTGAAACACTGCATAACATACACAACACATAAAATTGCTGCTCTAAAGGAAAGCCAACATATTTTCCACAACCTAAAAGCTGCACCAACCTAATGATGATTTAAAAATTTAGCCTACTAAATTAAGACATAGTTAGTAATGCAAAAGCTGCATCAACCTTGAGGCAATGCCCACTTTTGGGATTACGGACTAAATTACTTCTAAAGTTTATATCACGGCACAATATATCATTCTATTTTCATTTATTATCATTTGTTAGTTAGCATTGTTTTGCAGCAGTTCTATTTTCTAAGAGACATTTACTAAAAGAACTTAGCATATACAAGTCAACCGATTCTTAAACCTCCAAGGAGAAATTCTCACCGCGCTTGAGGCATCCGCAACTTTTTGGTATTCCAGCTTGACATAAACTGAGGACGATACCAAGTCACCAGAGCGTTTCCACAAGGAATAGTCGTCGCCATGTGAAACTCTGTATCAAAGAATCAAGAGTTATCATAGAAAACAAGCAATAAAAGATAAATGATCACAGTAGAACTCGATAGCCAAGACAATTAAGAGAATCCCAACAAAACCTTTAACTTGTTTATACGAGAGAAGGTCTCGTGATATCTGATGAAGTAATTACCTGAAACTACTGTATATGGGTCTTCTTCTCAAGATGTGAGCTATGTGTTCCCTTGTTGTTAGTGAATAATGATGGCTTTGGAACAGAGAAGGGTTGTGGAGGGAAACGTTTGGAAGCAGAGCAATGCTTTGCTTTATGAATAGACAGTGAAGAGTTCCCATCGCTCTTCAGTGGAAGAAATGAAATAAAGGCTCTCCAACACCAACCTGCGGAAGACATTAGTGTTTTCTAGAAACTTTTCACTATTTACCGCTATATATTTATAAATTAATTAATATTAATATTTAATCTCACTAGTGAAATTGGTAAAATCCACGAGATAATATTCTCAAATTATTTAATTCACGAGATAATGTTTTGGTCATATTATTTGTTGAGATAGGATGAAATCTACAGTGGAGTCGTATGTCGTCATGGCATCCGGGCGAGCTAGGAGGTCGCCATGGCATCTGAGCGACATGTGTGGTGTTTTGCATGAGCCATGCACGTCCAATGGGTAGATCGCCATCCATGCACGTCAAATGGGTAGGTCGCCAGTGTAATATCCCAAATAACGGGTTAGTGACTAAATTGTAAAAATTCAGAATTTGGTGATTAAAGTAGAATAATTAAATAGTTTAAAAATAATTGTTAATAAATATGAAATGAATTAAAGGACAAAATGGTCATTTATAAGGAAAATAATTAAATTTGGATGGGTTTATAACCCACGTGGAAGAGGATAGGAAGGCAAAATTGTTCAAGAGTTCATTTTCTCTTCTTCTCCTTGTTTTCCTCTTCTTCACGTTGGCTTTGGCTACAAAGGTAAGTTTGATTTTTATGGTTAATTTCTGGAATTTTAAAGAGGGTTTTGATTCTTTGGGTGTTAATTAAGCTTAAGGAAAGCTTAATTTGTTCTAAAACAACAAGATAAATGGTTTTAGAGATAGATTTGAAAAATGGGTTTTTAGATGAATTTTGATATGGATGAGTTTTTGAAGTTAGAATAAGATTTTTGACTTGTCAAGAAGTTAATTAAGGAATATGGAGTGTTAGAATTGGATTTAAAACATGTTGAAAATTGAGTATGATTTTTAGCTTTGAGAATTTGAATGAAGCATGGGAGATTTTAAAGTATTGGAATTGATAGAAGTTAATTAAAATGGTTGTAGTTAAGTTTGATAGTATGAAAGGATCTTTGTATGGGAAAATTTAGTGAAGAATTGATGATTTTCGGGTTGGAACAGTAAAATTTCAGATTATGCAGAGGGAACCGATACCCCTTGGGGGGAATCGATTCCCCCTAAAGGAAATGTTGAAGTTTGGTTTATTAATTAGTTTAAGTTTTTAGTATCAAATTACAAGGGTTAGGCTTCTGATAAATCTTGAAATTATGTTATGTAGATATAAAACGTAATTCTATTCCGGAACAATCGAAGTTAGGATTGAAACAACGAAAGCGAGCCAAGGTGAGTGCCTATTTTAAGGGTAGTACAATGGAATAAGACTTGTGAAGTCTAATCATATGTTGATTTTTATAGAACAATGTTATGAACATGCATACATGATAATTATTATGATACTGCATAAGGTATATATGCTCATATTGATAATGATATATGTGAATAAATTCAAATGTATATGTGATATGAGTGACATGAGCACATGAACATATGAAATATAAGAATGATGCCCATAGTATACGATATGAGCTATAGTGGCATGCCAAGTCGAGGGTTTCATAGGTCCTTCGGACAACTCATAGGTCCTTCGGGACAAATTTCATATGCCACTCAGTGGACTTATACGAGCTGTGGTGACAGCAATAGTGCACACCTCAATGTACTCGAATACCTTGAGTTCTCAGTAAGTACATGGGCTTATAGAATGTTATCAAAGTAATTGCATTATTATTGTTATAGTCATTGAATGGATATATCATGTTCTATTTATAAGGAATACATCATCATTATATTTATATGCCTCACTAAGTCTATGACTTAGCGTGTAAGTGATTTACACGTAGGTACAGAAAAAGTAAGAAGATCGATCTTAAGAGCAGCAACGCAGCATACCATCATTAGGGGATAAATCAGAAGTAAACAACAAAGTATGTATTTTGTTGTATAAAGTAGTTGGCATGTAATTGTTAGTTACGAACACTTGATCGAATTTTCTAATGTTTTCAAATGTAATTATGTAAGTGTATAGTAATGAACGGTTGAATTTTTACGAATTTTATGTACATTTTTACGGAAGTACTGTAGCAGTACTATAGCAGTACTGTAGCAGGGGAATCGGACTGAATATAATTTAATAATATATTATCTTATTTTCCTAAAATAAGTTCAAATATTTTGTTATTTTATAAGGAAAATTATTTTAAAAAGGTAATGTCACATCTCGGACTCGGACTCGGGTCGGGTGCGGGTTAGGGGTGTTACAGCCAGGGCATCCGAGCGACATGGTAGGTCACCAGGGCATCCGAGCGACATGCATTTTGGGGTAGGTCGCCATGCACGCCCAGTGACCTACGACTTCACGTGCTCTGCTCTCGCTCGGTTGCTCCCGTTGCGCCTCTGCTCCCATGCAGCGTGAATTCAACTACACTATTGCAGCACTTATTGCTGCATTATTGCAGTCCTTCAGCAGCACGTGAATGACAATTTGAGGGTGATATAATTGAAGCAGACAAGATGGGTAGTTGTATTATATATTGGATGGGTTAATGAGTGAAACATAAAAGAAAGAAAGGGAGAAGAGAGCAAGGGAAAAGAGGAATAAGAAGAAAGGTAGAGCACAACATCGAGGTAAGTTTTTTAATTATTTAAATTAGTTTATTATTTTAAATTATTAGTTTGTTAGTTTATGGTTTAAGGTAAAACAAAATTTTAGTTAATTAGTTTGTTAGTTTAAGTTATATCATACATAAATATAAAATTATTTAATTAGTTTGTTTGATAGTTATATATTAAAAAATAATTAGTGTGTTAGTTAGTCGTTAGTTATATAAAAAATATTTAATTAGTTTGTAGTTAGTTAAATAGTTAAGTTATATTTTGGTTGTTGAATTTATATTATATAAAAAATTTAGTTAATTAGTTTATTAGTAGTTTAAGTTTTATTATAATAAAAAAATAATTTATTAGTTTAAGTTATATAAAAGAATAATTATTTAAATTAGTTTATTATTATAAATTATTAGTTAGTTAGTTTATTATTATAAATTAGGGTAAAACAAAAAATTAGTTAATTAGTTTGTTAGTTTAAGTTATATTATTGTTAGTTTAAGTTACATCATATAGAAATAAAAAATTATTTAATTAGTATGTTTGATAGTTATATATTAATAAAAATAATTAGTTAGTTTGTTAGTCGTTAGTTATATTTAAAAAATATGTAATTAGTTTGTGTTAGTTAAATATTTAAGTTATATTTGTTTGTTGAATTTATATTATATAAAAAATTTAGTTAATTAGTTTTTTAGTAGTAAATTATAATTAAAAAATTATTTATTAGTTAAAATTATATTAAATAATAGTTTATTAGTTTAATATATTATAAGTTATTATATTAAATTTTTTTGTTGTGTTGTAAATTAGTTAGTTAGTTAGTTAGCTAGCTAGTTTATATTAGATTATATTAAATGATTTTTTAAATATATTTGTTTAATTTTTTTTATAGATGTATATGTGATATGATAAGTGACATGAGCACATTAACATATGAAATATAAGAATGATGCCCATAGTATACGATATGAGAGCTATAGGTATAGTTGGCATGCCAAGAGTCGAGGGTTTCATAGGTCCTTCGGGACAACTCATAGGTCCTACGGGACATATTCATAGGTCCTTCGGGACAAATTTTATATGTCACTCAGTGGGACTTATACTAGCTGTGGTGACAACAATAGTGCACAACCTCAATGTATTCGAATACCTTGAGTTCTCAGTAATGTACATGGGCTTATAGAATGTTATCAAAGGTAATTGCATTATTATTGTTATATGTTAGATCATTGAATGGATAGATCACATGTTCATATTTATAAGGAAAATTATTTTAAAAAGGTAATGTCACATCTCGGACTCGTACTCGGGTCGGGTGTGGGTTAGGGGTGTTACGTTTAATGGTATCAGAGCAAGGTTTAGTCGATTCTCGGCATAAACCGGAGTCTATAGTGTTTTATAATGTATACATGCCAACAAAATAGTGAAAACTTCTGATCTGGTATGGTAATGAGTATGTTGTTTTGCTAATAGAATGATATGTTTATTTTTAATAGATGTCCGGACATGATAGTTCTCGAAGTCAAGCGGGAGATGATCAACCCGCTGAAAGTAGTAATTCACCTGCCCTGGCCAGGCAAGGTGAAGAACAGACACCTTCTAGAGTGCCTGTAGCTTATCAAGATATGTTCTTTAGAACGTTAGATGCAGTATTGACGCGTTTCCAACCTCCTGTTACTTCAACTCCAAAAATGAATGTTGCAAAGGAGTTGAAGGGTTTAGGAGCTCCAAAGTTTAAAGGTGAAGTCGAGGAAGGTCCTGTTGCTGCAGACCTTTGGCTTAATGATGTGAAAATTATGTTAGAAGGACTCCACTGTTCTGATATGGAGAAGTTGGACGGGGTGGTCTCTTTGCTTTGTGGGCAAGCGAGAATTTGGTGGACAAATGTCACTTTGAGGATGACCAGTGATCAAGTGACATGGTCTCTGTTCCTGGAAGAGTTTCGGCATAAGTATATAGGAGACCAATTCATCAAGCAAATGAAGCAAGAATTTTTAATTTGAAACAATGAATCGCACTGTATATGAGTATGAGTGCGAATTTAATAAGTTAAGTCGCTTTGCAGCAGAGTTGGTGCCTACAGAGAAAGATTCCTGTGAGTGGTTTGTTGAGGGCTTGCGTCCA